GCGGATTGCAAACCACGCCCCGTCAAACTCCCAAAACTTTTGTGAAGCCGCCATTTTATTATCCTCGCATTGCATTATTAGCATTAGCATTAGCCTAGCGCAGAAACGCAGAGAGACTAACTTATGACAACACAAAATAAAACATGGAAGCGGTGGAGATGAGGAGGTGTCGGCGTTGTTTGCGGCCTGCCAGTAAACCCAAAGCAGAAGAAGAAGAAGTGACGTCAGCGGCTTCATTTGCCTAATCCACCCCCAGGTACTTATTCCGGTGTGAACGCGATCTGTACTTAGTTTATGAGAACTAAAGAGTTCTCAGGAACCTTTGTGGGAAAAGTACTTGGTGTGAACGCGCCTAATGAGCTTAGACTCAGATTGATGAACATTTAGGAAAAAGGCAACTACAGGTCAAAGGAAGAACATGTGATGTTTTCAGATCCAAGTGTTATCTTCAGGATAAGACATGTTTTATTGTTACTTCTACACCAATTTTGAGACAAAACTAAAGCAAAATGCCTCAAAACATGAAGTCAGCTATCCATGCACACTACATCTTTCAAAAGCTTTTACTGTGCACTCCACTCTACTGCTGGTACATGTGCTGTACACCTGCAAGGCTGTCGCTCTCATGCCATTGTTCTGTAATGCAGAAATGAGATGAGTCTGACAGCCTTTGTTTACTCGTGGCATTCAATAGGTCTTTGAAACAGGACTGCTGTTGAATGCTAGCTAGTTAGTTTGATGAGTGCAGTGCCTGTTATATGGGGAGAGGATTATGCATTGTGAAATGTGTCATCTGTCAACACTTGAGAAGATGCAGTGTGGTGAGGATGCAGCTTCTCTTTGTAAGAGAGGAATTACACAGGGGAAAGGGGGCTCGGCTACAGGAAAGGGGTGTAGAATAACGGCGGTTTATTGGGGATCATTAAGGGTTAGAGAGCAAAAGGATAAAGTACCACTCCCAGGGTTCAGACAAAGGTGATACTCTACCTGTATTCTGGTGTCCGTCTTCCACTGCCCCTCCTTTGAGGTGAAGGATAAGAGAGTGAGTACAACAATGCACCTGAACCCACAGAACCTGGATACTGCAGCTCACAAGTGTACCACAACATGCTAATATCATACAGTGCTTACACCCATTCAGGTGCTGCCCACATATCTACAACAGGCGTATACAGTTCAGAACAGTTCAACAGGTGTACATATGAGCTTATTCTTAATAACCCTTATATATATTATGCATTAATCGTACACTCTTACACTTTCAGGACATAAGGACAGGTTTTTCAAGGGTGCATATCTGAGCCACACTTACAAATTACCGTAATACTTCTGAAGAAAGTGCAGACACATCTTGCATTTGTAGAGAGATTGTTAAAAATGACTATTTAATGATCTGACCTTTCTTTTCTTTCTTCTCCTCCTCCTCTGGGCCGGCCCCCAGCAGGGTCATGATGATTCCAGTCTGAGAGTTGACCCCAACAGCCGTCACCACCATGCGCCCTGATCCCTCCATCACATGGGTGCCTGGAAGAAAGCGCAGTAGGGTGTAATGGTAGGATGTTACAACAAGATTAAATGCGTTTGTGTTAACTTACGCAATTCTTTTATAACCCTGAATGAATGTGTGCATTTGTTAGCACTACGGTAAAGATACTAGATGAATAAATTGAATGAATGATTTGGTTACTCAATCGCAAAAAAACAAATGCCAAATGTAACTACACTAAATATAATAATTGTTAATTTCCTTATTCGACCAATTATTCTATTAATTATTTTTGAACAGCATAACATTTGTTATTGGTTGGTATGCTACATACCATTTAAAACACATTAGTGTGACTCACATGGTTGATCTAGAACATTTAATTCTATATCACCGTCACTATATCAAACATTAAATCGTTAAAACCAAAGGACAGCGTTTTATTCTTAATTCTTACACAAAGTCTTATTGTAAATCCAAATGTGCTGGAGTAGAGAGCCAAAAACAGTTTTAAGAAGTGCCCCGATGGAACAGCGTGTAGTAGACTTCTGTGCTTGTGTAGTATACACAAGTATACACGGAGAACATTATTAACCTTTGGGAGAGAAAGTCCAAGTGGGTGAATATGAGGCTAATTAAAGGAGGCAGCAAAAGGCACATAGCTAATTAGCCACAGGAAAAGTTCTAAGATGTGAGATCAGATTAACGCATGTTTCTGTTATCAGTGAGATTCTTCAGAAATTCAACAGCTTCAGATTCTAGTGTCCCCTCTGCAGCGAACCAATACAGAGGGGAACTAGATGAAAGAAAGCCTCCAGGGCGTCACCAGTGTCTTCTGTTGCCTTTATAATTACATTATAATTAAGAACCTATTGTCTTTAGTCCGAGGTAATGCCTTGACTGTGACTTATAATTCATTTAGTTTTAAAAATACTTTATTCTGAAATAAGTGCTTGAAGACTAAATAAACTATACTTCAATAAACTAGAACAATGTGTGAAGCCTTCTTGTGATATGCCACATTACACAGTTGCATGTAGTCATTGTAAAAAGTCCTGATTATTATGATACCATTTAGTATTTCTAATTATGCCAGTTATTTAATGCAGTAGATGAAAATAAAATACTGTGACATTTGGCTAGTAGGTGTAACAAATCTACCCACTGTATTTTCTGATGTTATGCGCATGGTGAAATATTCTCAAATTGTCATTGAAGGGTTTTTTGAAGGATTCAATCATTCCAAACGGCTTTCTATGTTTTGAATACAATAACATTAAAGATTTAAAAAACGGTGTGAGTTGAGTCTCCTCCTGTCCCTTTGTCCTTCAAACGTCCCACATTACATGCAGCAGACATGGCCTTGGCGTGCAGTACAGACCCATCCATCTCTACTGAGAGCAGTGACAACATACCAGACAGCAGCATGGGGTCTTTGTCTGCGTTCTTCTTGACGTGGTCGGACTCTCCGGTCAGTGATGACTCATCAATCTTCAGGTCATTGCCCTGGATCAACACGCCATCAGCAGGAAGCAGATCGCCTGTAATAATGGAAACAGCAGAGTTGCTAGATTTTCTGTCATTTATAGATACTGCCTTACACACTAAAGTAAGTTAAGAAAAACACATTGGAGTTGGTCTGTCTGCAGCTAATTCATTCCTCAACATTTAAACACTGTTGCATAAATCTATGTAATTGTTAAAGTGGACTTTATAATTGTAATCCTCTTCTGGAAATTAGGTGAAAGTATTTTCAGCCGCTGAACCACAAAATTGACTTTGCACAGAACAAAAGACTAGCCAATGGATAAAGTCGGTGGGCACGTCCAGGCACACCAAAGTTATCAAAATGTACTGAAAACTTTGGTCCATTTGAGTTCACTTTAATCAGTGTTTCAATGAAAGCCACAGTAGAAATCTGCCGCACTTTGCAGCAGAATCAAAACAGCCGCAGCTGTTTGATAGTACTTGCTTTGGGGGAGGGAGCTTTGTGACCACAGAAGCCTCTTGCAGCTCATGTTTGGTATTCTGAAATGTACCAACCTTTTATTAATCCTGTTTAAAGATCTACGAACTATGAATATGCATCAAGAAGTGGTTGGCATTTGAGCTTACACAAGTTTCAAAATGCATTAGCTTCTAAATATAACACACACCACGGTATCTGCACATTTTCTAAGTACACATTTAATGACTATGAAGAAAAAATGATACCAATACAAAACAATCGATGAACTACTAGACAACAGTATAAACCGTAAGTGAGTTTTATTGCATTTGAATAACGGGAAATGTTCAGTGCACATTACCCGACATGACTGCCTTCGCATTAACAAAAAAAGAATTGTATAGCAGTAGACCAATGGAAACCAATGTCCCCCCTGCACACTCATTCATTCTGCACCAGATAACATGTAATACCTCCCCTCCTAAAATTCCAGACCTTTTTAGACATTTTTAGACCTTGAATATTGAAAAATAAATGTAAGACTTTTAAGACTTTTTAAGGATCCGCGGGGACCCTCCCACACATACATGTACAGTTTGACAACTTCCTCACACCTACCGTATTTGATCTGTGCGATGTCCCCCACCACTATGTCTGACACGGGCAGCTGTATGACCTGGCTGCCGCGGACCACCTGGAACTTCTGCTCCTGCTCGATGCGGTTCTGCAACCCACGGAACTGCTTCTCTTTCGACCAGTCGTTGAAAGCTGTCACCAGCACCACACAAACCACAGACAACAGGATGGCGGCGCCCTCGATCCAGCCGGCGTCCGCCTCGCCCTCGTCCTCCACCCCAGCTGCACCCGCGCCACAGACTGCACAAGGGTAGGATGGAAACAAAGAAAAGAGCAAAAGTTATAAAGGTGTTATACTATTTTCTGTGTCTTTTTAGAATGTGTTCTGATGACACTGACTTACAAGCTGGATATCAGATCATGATTTCATACTAAGGTATGTACTGTGAGCTCCTTTATGTGTATAGTATGAACACTTCATAAAGAAAGACACACAACCGGTGTAATCGAAAATCACACTGGAGAGAGTGAGTGCGAACTATTTGCCTGTGTACAATGTATGTCATATAAAAAGACAATTTCACAAACAAAATAATATAAAATCTTTAGAGAATTCACTTCTCCTAGACTGGCCATTTGTCGGCTCCACTTCCTATCAATGCCCTGCAGTCTACTGCCTGTGCTCTTGGGTATATTTGGGAATGAAACAAGGCTTATTCCCAGTCGCCCCAGTGCTGCTTCCTGTAATACTCTGGGCGCTATAGTGGCTACACTCCTAAGTCCTGACTAGCTGACTTCAAAGGCCCACAGTGGGGTGATTTGCTTTGGGCTGTACAGAAATTGCAGCTCACAAAAGAACAGAAAGCCCCTGTATTTTAGGCATTACATAATGAAGGATCAGAATCAAGCAAGAACTAGACTCAAAGAAGTAATTTGGGCTTTCTGTTGCACTACAAAGGGATTCCAATCAATATGTTCATGTAGTGGATTTACTGCACACGCCGACACATGTTAGACCGCCAGTAGCACTGCACACATATCTTTTCTAGGACATATAATAATGATATTGTTATCTAAAAAATATTAACATTTAATGTAAATGACTAATTATTGTTCATTGAATGTATTTAATTGCACTTTTTTTTTTTTCTAGTTTGTACAGTGTCAGAAAAAAATAGCTACCGATTAGTTCACTTTCTCCATAAAGATTATGCAACGTAAAGTTGGCATTGATGTGATAAGTGAAGTCATTTTAATATCTTGTGAAGAAAACATTTAAAAAAAAAAAAAAAAGCTTTTTTATGAACAATTAGTAGTATATAAACACTTACATGTGTGCACAAACTGTTTTCTTGTATCTCTCATGGAAAGACACACAATTATGCAGCACATCTGCAGCTGTCCATGGTGCTGAAGTGACACAACTGGGCAACATTTAAGCCCAAAGCAGGACATATAATAGCTAGTGCAGCGATGGAGAAACATTCACAACTGGGTGGGATGTAAGTTTATATATATGACTGACTATTGGCTAAAGGCACAACCATATTGGAATCTGAGTCTACTTACGGTATTTTCTTTCTCAGGGATTTGTTTAGATTCACGTTGTGTCTTTGATACAGACGCAATTAAGAGCCTTCTCATTCAACTGCAGCCAGGCTGTATTATGTAAATGAGAATTAAGTCATCCCACCACCTTTGATTTTTGGACTGTTGAGCTTGTTTTGACCTATAAATAAACAAATCCTTAAAGCATTAATGAGTGTCGCGTGGGATATTTTCTTTTCACATATATCAGGACTGGGGGGGGGGGGGCATCCTACCCCTTTGCACCCAGGGCCAATTCAACCTTCAATTTGATCTCAACTTCAAAGTTCAAACCATGTAGTTTCATGACTTCATCTTGCATGATTGCAATGCTATCGCAGTAGGAAAATCTATCCACAGCAAGACAGAAAAATGTTTTCTTTATAGTCTATGTTTTATATCTACAGTATAGTCGTTATCTTTAACGCAACAATTATAATTTTGTTTTTTTTGTCATATGTACCGTCCATCGCTGCTCTGCTATACACTGGCACACAGCCATTCGTTGTTTATCTGTATGACGTGTTTTTGAAGTGGAAAGTATTTATTTCTATCTGAATTGAAGTCTATTCAAATCAGCAGGGGTTTATGTGCTGATTCATCAATTCATATCAGACGAAAATTAGACTTGTATATCGGAACCTTTTTTGCCTCAAGTTAAAGAGAAGCTTGATTACGTTCCTCCAGATGGAACCATCTATTAGCAGCTATTAGCATAAAGATTCCTCAGGCCAGGCTTTCCTTTATTTGGAGAGCTCACTCATAAAGCAATGCTGCTCAAAATATGCAAAGAAAATAATCAAATGAACAGAAAGGTGCGATCAAATTACCAATCATTTTATGACTGGAGTTTTTGGCTGACTGAATAAATAATTGTCTCTCTCATTAACCCTGACTTAATCCTAACCAACCAACTAAAACGTGTTATTAACTAAACAATGATTTGATTAACTACCCATGCAAGTGAGACGGTTGTTACCTTTTCTTCTTTCTTGGGTATTTCCACCTTCATAACACTTTAAAACCCTTAAAATGATGACTGGTCCCTTTGGCAGGCTAACTGAATTCCATTACTGTGATAATGCTTTGAGCAATGAGTGATGTTGCTGACTCAGCACCTCGTTATGGTCTCTGTCTTCATTTCCTGTTTCACGGCTCACAGTGCTGATGTATGAGCTCTGGGAGCTCAAGGTTATTTCTCTACTCAACGCTTCATTAATCTTCCCGGTAACTCTCGTGCACACATTTAACACGTTCATATTGTGCACGCACACTCACGTGCGAGCTTGATCTCATGAGGCAGGTCAAAAAGCACGACCTGCCTCAGCAATTAAAAAGTATGTGGGGAAGTGAGTGCCTGTAGAAGTGTGTGTGTTTGTGCTAATCTAAAGACCTCCAAACAAATGACAAGACAGAATTTAAAGGTCACCTATTATGCAAAATCCACTTTGTCATGTCTTTTATACATAAACATGTGTCCCCTCTGTGTAAAGAGATTCTGAAAGTTTCAGGAAAAAAGATTTGCTCACTTTTTGAAAATGAGCTGATCGGATTTTGCCCACTCTATGATGTCATAACGATTTGTTGGCTGGTGTAACCATTAGCCAATCACCAACCAAGGTAACCCCCTCTCCACCTTATCACCTGAATCTCCTCCTAGAGCACCATTGTGTTCGTTTTAACCAAATATCTCTCAGAGGGGCTTGGGGAGGGGCTGAAACAGAGGGGTTTATGGGATGCTGCAATGATCTGTTTGGTATTTGGAGCCAAACACTTCAGAGACATGTTTTGTATATATCTGAGACCTATAATATATTGATGAAAAACAGTATAATAGGGGACCTTTAAAGTCACTAAACTCACATTCTCCGCTGCTGTCTCCGGGGGGGTGGTAGAAGGAGAGTCCCAGGGAGATCAGGGCAGCGATCTCCAGGATGATGAGGGTGACGTCCTGCAGGGCCTCCCATACCAGCTGCAGGAAGGTTTTTGGCTTCTTTGGAGGTATCACGTTTTTACCATAGATTTCTTTCCTCTTGTCCAGGTCAGTTTGGTCACCTGCGAGACCTGAGACAGAGAGAGGGAGAAGGAGTTAGAGAAGTGCTGATCAATTATCATCAAAGTGTGTCGGATGTTCTAACAGACGAGTTTAATGTTGTACATATTAAGGGTTAACACTACAGCAACCTGCATTTATTTTACATTAGAATAAAACAATATATATTATTTTTATTTTTATCCAAACGCAAAGAAATATCAGTTTAACTGCAAAGCTAAAAACTGCAGATATAATTGCCGTCTTTCTGAACATTTTTAGATTTTGTATAGTTTTGTATTAAGCTTTGTAATGGATCTTTTTTCTCTCTCTGCCTTTATTTGATCATTTTCGCTCTCACAGCACACACACCATCTCTAATTACAAGTTTGCAACATGATGGGCCTGGACTCTGCGCTCCTTATATCATTCTGCTCAGCAGATCAGGGCGTTGACCTCATCCACCTCCTCATACTCCATGAACTATTGCACATAAATATCTCAGGCAATGAAGGTTTTTCAGATAAAAGAGCCAGAGGGACATTTTACTTTTAGAATGCTGTCAAGAAAATAATGCTCGTGCAGTAGCTGAAATAATATGGCGAAAGGGTCTGTTACATCAGAGGGAATGCTTTGGCAAGAGCAACTTTTTTATCCAAATAGCATTAACACCAATGAATTGAGAAGCTTGCATGGAATTATCTTTGATTTGACTTGTTTTAATGATGCATTATGTAAGCTTTCAATGTGGATGAATAAGAATCATAGAAGCATATGTTCTGTGAATATTACAAATGGTATGTTAAATATGGACTACTCTACTTCTGTTCTTCATATTGACACATTTTCATATATTCAATCACATTTTCAAAGCTGCAAAATAGTATTGATTATTACCGATTTAGTTTTTGATTGACTGATGAAACATTTCATCTATAAAATCTCAGAATATAGTCATATATGTGATTCATAATCTCAGAGGTTTAGGTTTCATGATGAACAGTCAAAACACTTTTTCACTTTTGTGTCAATGCACTTGATAATACTCCGCAAATAGGCTTTACATCTTTAGTTGCCTCCATTTTTAGGGTTAGGTATCACATTACAAAGTCATTGTATTTCATATTAATTAGGGATGCTCCGATCGCCAATTTTGGGGCCGATCGCCGATCCGATCGAGTGGGCGGGGCCTATGGGGGTCTTCCATTTAAAGTGATGTTTAAAACTCAGTAAATGGGGCTCATTCACTGGCGCTTCCACAAACAACTAACATAATTAGCTCTCTTTTCCTCTCTCCCTCTCTCTCTCTCCTGACAGCCTGTCAGTATCTCATGAAGCTCACTGATCCAGTAATGAGTGACCTGACGGTGAAGAATAAATATATGTATAACTAGTTTAGCTAGTTCCAGAGGTAGATAAAATAGCTAAGTATGTTAGGTCTAACTCTCAGTGTGTGTTTGGCTCCGCTCACCGGCCCGTCACAGCGGGCGGAGCTGCAGGATGTCTGCTTCACACACACGTTGCATACCGCTATTTTATTGTCATTTTCGGACACCTTAAAATACTGCCAGACCGGTGAAGCCATTTTAACGAGCTTGTTTTGCCGCGCACAGAGAAAAGTCTCATGTATTTTACGCCATGTGATCGGCTCTCACGATCGGCCTTTATAGAGAGCACCGATCGATCGGCAGAGAGTGAATATCGGCCGATATCGATCGGCGGCCGATCGATCGGAGCATCTCGAATATTAATATTTGTACAATAATGATATTTACACAGAAACTCCTCTGAACTTTTAACTAAATCAAACCTTAAAAAATATATTTGCAGCCTGCTAACAACAATGCAAATGTGTGCTCTGTATATTCACATATTCTCTGGCTGCTCTTTTAGTGCAGAACCATTATCTGGTAGCTGAGCGCACACAGTGTGTGTGTTCACAGTGTGTGTGTTCACAGTGTGTGTGCTCACAGTGTGTGTATCCACAGTGTCTGTGTCGCTCTCTCTCACAACCAAAGACATTACCCTAGCATTATGTCATGCATGGTGCGTCACCGGGTCTCCCAGGAGTGGCCCTGGATCGCACCTGATAACATCACTGCTGCACACCGTTTCTTCACATTTGAATGCAAATGACTGTGAGCCCATTTATTACATGCAGAGAATAACTGATGTTCAATATGCATCCCATGTCGGAGAAAGAGCAAAAAAGGGAATGACAGAGTGGTCGTGTGAAAAGCAGGAGAGTAAAGAGTTCACATTCCCTTTGTTTGAATAAGGGAGCTGGAGCAACTGAGAGGGAGAAGGAGAGAAGGAGGGCATGCAGAAAAGCGAACAACTCCCAGCTCCTACGTAGGAGAATGCCCTGGTTACAAATAGATCAGTCTATAAATAGCCTCATTACCCATTCTCTTTTAATTGTCTCTGCGAGAGGACCTAGCATGCTATCCCATTGATCTCCACAGCACCCTGCCTCACATCACATACAAGCATGTCTGTGTGTCCATGCATGTGTGTGTACGGCTCTGTGAGTCGTGACTGCCTGCACGTGCTTTGAGTGTGTGTGTGTGTGTGTGTGTGTGTGTGTGTGTGTAATAAGGCTGGATAAGCATGTCGGCAGTTGCTTGCACTATTACACGGTAAAACGAGAGGTCATATAATCGGGCTTTAACCAGTTCCAGTTGGTTAGATTCACGCACACACAGTTAAATGCAATCTCCACCAGAACACATCTTTTATACATATCCATATTGTAGACCCCGCCTTTTCTTTTTAGATAGCTCATGTGCACATCAAATTGAACTTTCCCTCATATTTCTACCAATACCTAATGCACATAATAAAATAAAATATTCTACTCTGTATTTCTATGTAGTTATAAAATGTAAGTGCACCATTCTTTACATTAAAATACAACATACTGCATACTCTTCACTGTGTCTGCCATGTGATAGGCTCCTCTGAGTGTTGGCGGCGCATCAGTTCAGCATGACATCTAGCCTTGTTAAATGCTTCAACTCCTTAAACGCCCTTGAGATGTAATCCATTCTGTAATCAATCTCCTTAATCATGAAATACTCATTGCTTCCTGCAAAATCCTCTGCTATATTATCATTCCTTCCTGGATAGCTGATTGCAACGCTGCTTACAGTAAGATTCATTTGCCAGATTATGAAATATTGTAGGCTAAATACTGTCAGCCCACCTAACTGCTATGGCAGGGGATTTTGAGGAGGCAGTGAAAGGGCAGAGGAGCAGTGGTGATACACAGATGAGTCACAACAGCCTCACACAGGATGAAGGGTGATTGCTAAGGAGTGTGTGTGCTACAGTCCATCAGCAAGTAATGCAGCCTGAACACACTTTATACGAGGTGTACATAAAGAATAAAGGGGAATAAGAAACAATGCACTCTTGGTGCTGTTTAGCGGGTCATTTTCTATATGAAGTTATTTTTGAATAGTTTTTGGAAAGTCGACCTAGAGTATATCAACTAAAATAAGAGATGATGCCCTATGGTCATTAGTTTGAAGTCTTTTTAAGATTGTCAGCTTATTGACTTAAAATAAATAGTGGGAATGCTGGTGACTCAGCAGATTAAATAAAGCCATTTATTGTATCAGAAATGCATGATAGTTTGAATCTTGTTTATGGTTTTGGTTGAATTCCACCAAATCAGTCACTTCACACTGAATACTAGCTAATAAAACAGTCATTCTTAATAATAAAACCCATTTGGTCATACTTGACTGTGAGCATTACATCGCTACATAGCTACAGAAATATAAGTATGATATTAATCATGAAAAGGACATGACTACAGCATAATGAATCAATATGGGCTTCTCTGGCTGCCTGGGAGCAGGGCAGAGAAGCTGCAGAGCTGCCTTTACTTCTGTGACTCTGTAATGAGCCTCTCTACTCTAAGATCAATTTAGAAACCTGACCATAAAGTCTGGCATAGGCACAACGCTAATGTAATCATGATAAGATACTATGTCATTAAAAATACAATGATTAGACTTAGGGTTCAACTTAGGACTCTTCTATTAATCGATGAAAGCCTCTTTTCCTCTCATGCTTATTTGAGAGTAGGATGTGAAAGGTCTAAAGTGGAAAAACAGAATCACATTTATAACACTCTCAATCTGAATTATAAGTTCCACTAAAAGACTCCAGAAACATTATATGCGACCAAGGGTTTACAGATTGTATTTAAATTCAATGACCATCAAATCTAGAATTTCTCTCCTCCTCTTCTTCACTGTGCTTCCTCTATAATGTATGTCTGCTAATGCACTGATCTTCTCAACACAGCAGGGTTCTGCTTTAACAAATGACACCTACCTAGCATCCCGTTTCATAAACTGGGAAAAACTCAAACTTTACGCCATTCTTTCTGCAGGAGAGGAAATGGGATTTTTTTCAGTCAGGGAGCATGATGGCATATTTTAACAGTTGGTCCTTTTTTTTGTGCGTTTAAAAATAGATCTCCATGGAAACACTATGCAACCCACTCGTTGAGTGGAAATACCCGCAACTCTAAACCTCGGAGAATGTGTGAATATGTAAGTAAGTGTGTGTTCTGTGTTCAAGAGCACGTTTCAACAAAGACAATTATTAAATGGCGAGATGACCTCTAAATGTCCTTTCAAGATAAGCTTGTGGAGTGGAGCGGCAAACAAATCATATAAAATAAAAAAAATGTACATAATGGATTGGACAACACTCTTATATGCCTGACTTGGACCCAGCAGTATCTGCCCCCGCCCCCCGCACCGTTTGGTTCAACATCTCCCTGCTTGTCTGTCTGAACTTTGTTCCCCCCCCCCACTCATAAAAATGTGAGCCACATTGTCCAAAACAAATCACCATGGCAACAGGGTTCTCCGAGGATGATGATGATCATCATCATCATCATGACGAAAAATATTGATGCCTTTTTCTGCAGCAAATCAATAGCTTCAACGTGTAACAGAGGGGGAAGACAGAGTGGTTGAAGTGTGACTCAGAGCACAAGAGAGTGAGAGAAAAAG